TTGGGAAATAATGCAGCAAGCGCAGTTGCTAAAGAAATCATTAATTTTGTGGAAGTGCTGTTTGAGACTAAAAAACAACAGAAATGGATTTTAGGAGAAGAACATTGACTTTATCTCTTTATTCCTTTTTTCCCCTGGAGAAGTAAAGAAAATTAAAACCTCACTATCAAAAGCCAGGCATTGAGTTGCTCATTAGTGATTCTGCATTGCCAGATGGTCATGGTTAAAGCTTAGGGAGATGTTCTTATTAACCTTCCCTCAGTATCTCTATTTTAGCCAGATCATAGCTTGTCATCCTGTCACCATGGACCAAGATGGGCTGAGAAACACCATTTCACCCCTCAGTCCTGCACTAATTCTGGTATTCTCCAGGAAACGGATTGCAGCAGGCACTTTCTGATCCTACTTCTTTCTTTTCTTTCAAGTCCTATCTGAACTATTGTGGTTGTTTCCCTCGTGGCTCTATGATGACCTCACTTTAGATACCATCACTCTTGCTTTCAAAAACATAGACAAACAGATGAACGTGTATAATCCAGTCACTCTACTTTATCCCAGTTGGCTCTTTGGTTATACATTCTCTAATTTCATTTGTCAACCTTGTCTCCATCAAGCTTGTAATACTTGCTGGACTTTGTATAGTAACTTTTCCTTCTGCTGTTGCCACCAAGCCAATGTTTTCTCCCAGGAATTCCCTCTTTATTTATTTACTTTTTAGACAAGGTCCCCCTGTAGCCACAGCTGGCCTAGAATTCACCATGTGTATGCAGATTAGTTTGGTGGCTTTGATCTCACAAAGATCTGCCGGCCTCTGCCTCCTGAGTGCTGGGATCAAAGGTGTGCACCACCACACCTGGCTCATACGAATGTCATTCTTAATACAACTGCATGAAGCCTTATCTCACTTTGAAAATAAATGTAGATTCTACTTGTCTTAATAATCTGCTTAATTATTAAGTTTATGATTCTGAATTTGAGAAAGCTTTTTCATTCCTGATTGATTGGTCTACATTGCTGGAATTCTACTTTCACATTTCATTCAGCCTTGCTGAAGTTCTCTAATCAGCTTGGCTTTCTGCTTTGCATGTTTCTATTACAAATGTTTTAATATGACACTTCATAGTGTACATAAATCTGACAGCATTCATTCTGGAATTGTTTTCCTTTCTTCATACTACTGTTTTTTAATCATTTATTTCTAGTCTGTCTCCCTCAAAGACCCTACCTATGCCGTGAGCAGTCCTTCACTCTGTCCTGATTTCACTCTTTTGAACTTCTGTCCCCAGAATTCAGTCTCAGAAGCCCCCACATGTGTGAAAAACAGATTCTCAGATAGTTCAATCAGTTTTCCAATCTGGACTTTTGGAGCATTAGAGCTAACAGTATAGTGAGGTGTGCTGTCTGTAGAGCACAGGTTGTCTATAAAACCGAGAATAATAATGTACTGAAATGATATTTAAGAATGACAAGATTTAACAGAGTTCTCACAACCACAGAAGTATACTGAATGTCTAAATTCATTGTCAACATAGAAAAGAGATGGGATGCTATCGTAAAAGGAGCACCATTTAATGAAACCTAACTGTGGGCTGTCATGTGATCAGCTTTGGGTGTAGAGCAAGCGCTGCTGTTCCATAGCATTCTGCTGTGCTGTTTCATGACTAGGGAAAGAGCTTTCATGTACCTTGGGGGACGTGGAAGTCCAGGCATGACTGGCCTGGATAGGCTTGCTCATAGAGCCTGTGTCATGAAAGAGATAAATACACAAATTCTAGTATTTTTGTCCATGATGTAATCTTTGAAACTCCCAACTTAGCCAGGAAGACAGTAATTTAATTTTTTTCTGAGATATATCAGTGTAACTTTTAGATTATACAGAACTTTTATTTTGTTACAGTAAAAAGTAAACATCAAAAAGTTTGCCTGAGTAATGATCATTACAATAGAGCTAATTATGGAAATATTCATCAATTTTAAGTTTATTATAACTTAGTTTCAACCCTAAACTGTGACTGCTCATATTAAAAATTTTCATTTAAAGAAGTCACCCTCATGCTGAAGAAGTAGGAGGAAAGAATTCACAGGAAGAGTTTTGTTTTAACTTTTCATTTTAAAGAGTGTGTTTAAAAGGGGCTCAATGTCTGTGAGGCATCATCACTCATGGTTCTTGAACCTGAAGAGAACTCATGGATTGTGTTGACTGGTCCTTCTATGTCTACAAGCTCCCAATAGTAGGATCAACCCATCCTCCTCCCTCATATGCATGTTTCATTAGAAAGCTGCACAAAGTTTTTTGAAGGCAGGGCTGATTTTAAATAAGAGCATATCTTGGACTCTTAGAATGATCACTCTGGTTGCTTGACTCCTGTTTTCTCTAAACTTCAGTTCCAAAATCAACATTCACTTAATGTCTCATAAAAGGTAGTATTGGAAAGCAATGTTTTATTAATTTTTCTGAAATTCAATATTGCAAAAATGATTAAATTATTAGAAATTTAACCTTCTAAGAAAGTGAGGTGAACAGTAATGTTAATATTTAGCATTAATATTTAAATATATCTTATTAAAAATATCTGCATATACATAATGTTATGAATTCATGTTAAATTTATGTATTCTCTATGAATACATATTTTTCTCACCTTTATGGAATTTTTTTGGTTTCAGCATAAGCCAAAAAGCACTGAATATAAAAATGGAGTATTATTCTTTGAACTAGGACATATCTCTGAATTTAGTAAAGAATTGGTCATATACCTTGCAAAACTATGAGAAGAGCTAACATTTTCAAGCAATTTTTTTCTGGCTGTAATTGTCTTAAATGCTTGATCTAAATTATTTAATCTCCATTTTACATATGAGATACTGATTCTTGGGGATTTAAAAATTGAAACTATCAGAGCTGGGCTTGGTGGTGCACACCTTTAATTCCAGCAATTGGAGGCAGAGACAAGTGGCTGTCTGTGAGATCAAGGCCAGCCTGGTCTCCACGGTGAGTTCCTGGCCAGCTGGAAGGGTGACCCAGTCTCAAAGAGACCAAAAACAAAAAAATTGGAACTATCAAAGATTAAGAAAGTCAAAACTAATTTTATAAATGCATATTGACAGATAGTTTTAGACATTGATTGACAATGGGTTAAAATATGCAATATTTCAGAATGATTTATTTGTTGACTTAATTCACACAGGTTACTGATAACAAAGTTAAAGTATGTGGGATAAATTCAATTTTGCATACTCATGTGTCAACTTACATATAAACTTTAGATATGCACTTCCTCCCTTTCATGTGTGACTATGAATTAATTCATGAATCTAAATAGCATTTTTCAGATTTTCTGCTGTCTGCTGCTATGTGAGTCCATATGCTCTCTTTCATGAATTTCTCTTGCTGAGCAATGGCAAGAAAGAGCCTTATGCATGCACTGGGACATTAAAATAATTCCCTTGTAGGAAAATGGATAAATTTAACTATAGATAATAATTTGATGTCAGTAGAAACATCTGAGTTTTTTGTTTCACTCCTTTTAACTTTTAAGGCTTATATAGAAAACATCAATGTGTAATTAGTATCATGCCAGTATTCCTACTTTGAGTATTTTCAGAGTTATACATCATTTTTTATTTTGGATAGTTTAGATTAGTTTCTGGGCTGTAATGGAAAGTGCCAAATTCCTGATAAGCTTAAAATAAAGATTACTTAGGGTCTTCATTTGTTGAAGAGAAGTGTGCAATAAAAAAAAAAAAAGGACTCATCTCAAAGCATTCAGAACAAAAAAGCCTGCAGAGAAACAGAATTAAGTGAGGCACAAAGCAAAGTTATTTCAGCCCTCTTGACTGGAGGGCTGATACATAAGAATTCAAATAAGATTTCTTTGGGGTTAGAGATTTTAACAATAGGAGCTAGTGATTAATGCAGGAAAGAAGTTTACTAACAAGGGTTTTTTTCTGACCAGACCAACTTGAACTTTCATTTTTCATGAAACCCTCCAATAAAATGCATCTACTCCATTTTTCTCTTCTATTTTCCCTAACAATTGTTTTGATTTCCAAGAGGAGAATGGCTCACTGAAATTTTTGATGAGTGGAAGAGTATTGGGAACCATGTTATTTAGTCAATCATACCAATACTCTGGAACTGTGAAGAAAGTGATAAAAAAATGGATCTGAACATTTCACAATCTATCCCCACTACATGTATCTGGCCACTAAGCAGGAACACACCGGCTGTGACATGTGGCTTTTCTCCCAATACAGCATGACCACATTTTCCTAAATTCATGTGCATCGAATATAATGCTGATAATGCAAATTCCTTTCATAGGACATTTTCGTGTAGTAGTAAAGGAGTATTTAATACACCAGAAAACATACAACCATGGCTGCTTCTCACTTCTAAATGCTGAGAGATTTTTACATTTGTCCTTACCAATGTTACATTATTATTAGAACATGCAATGTCAATGAGACAACGTTGTTGCCAGAGGCAAGCACTGGCCCTTCCTAGATCTGCCACAGGGCTCCTCCGCTCTGTGTTCACAGAAGCAGTCAGTGGGAGAGGTTTGGAGGAGTAAAGTGCAGTGAGTAAAAGGAGGCAAGAACTTCAGGAGAGGAGGAAGAAACACAAGTAGGAGAGGTTTAGAAGGAATACAACAAAATGAGTATAAAGACTAGAAAGAGTGAAACTCACTCAGAGGAATTTTTAAAGCCATTCTGATCATATATTTCCATATATGGGAAGGATATTATTCACTATAACTTACACAGCTTTCACAGAAGATAGATGGGTCCTTATACACCTGTTAGCTGAATGCAAGAGGTCACAAAACAGAGTCAGGAAATTTTCCATTAAGTCTTCATGGAATGAAGATAGCAATGTCATGGGAAATGGTGAGCTATGGCTATAAATATAATGTTACACAAATAGAAATATCCTTTCTGTAGACCTGGCTAAGTTAAATCACATCATTCATATCTAAAATATTTAGATAAATACTCACCCAACAGACAGAAATGGTTCCTTTGATTCAAGCCTATAAAAACATGAAAAGTTTATTTTAATTTAACAATTTGTTACACAGTCAAAAATTGTCTTATATGAATGTGGCAAACATGTACTTGATTGGATGAAAATATGTTTCCAAGAATAAAAAATTATAAATAATATACTAAAGCCTACTATATATTAAAGTCATATATTCATGCTGTAGGTGGATAAGTGGGGAGGTTAAATAAAGTGAAAGCCTCAGAACAGAAGTGCAGCATTTAAAAGACATTAAGTGACAGTGTGAGTCTAATTCTTAGGTATAGCCTGTATTTGCTTATTTTTGTTAGAGAAGTTTTCTAAAAATTTCAATGTGTCCAATTTTAGTTGTAATAATGAAGAAATTTATAATTTATTTAGTTACATAATATAGATGTTGATTGCCTGCGCAAATACTCTGTAGAAAAGAGACAGGGTACCAAGCATGATCATGCACTGTGAATAACACCCTGGGGGAAGAGGAGATGTCTTGCAACATGTTAGGGTCATTCTTCTCAAAACTTAGGTACTTTCTATGTCTCCTAAGACACCAGATGTGAGATCTAACCCGGAAAGTCATGGTTAGATGTGACATCTTGAGAAAATCACTTTAAAAGCCTACTGCGACTTACTATTTTCTAATAATAAAGTGGTATAGGATTGCTTCTAGCTGATTTTCTGATATCTCAAAACAGTTCTATATTATTTACAAAAGACAACTAATAAAGGAAGGGTCCACTTCAGGATACTAAGAGTTAATACTCAAGGAGATTTAATTTGCAGGTATATATTTTCATTCTATATTTTATACAATTATGGGATAAATGCAGAAAAGAGTGTAAATGTTTTAAGTAAATACTAGCATTTTATGTCTCATTGTGCAGAGGCCATATGACACCCAGCGATATCATCCTTCTTCAGGAGCTAACTACATTATTTCTGAGACAGTGTGTCACTGGCAGAGAACACAGTGAGTAGACTATGTTGGCAGGACAGCAGGCTCCAGGGATCCCTCTGCTTCTGCCTAAGTGCTGTGATTACAGATGTGTTGTCATGCCTGTTTGTGAGTGTGTGTGAGTGTGTGTGTGTGTGTGTGTGTTCATTCTAGGGACTGAATTCAGGTTCTCATACTTACAAAGTAAACACTTTACTCACTGAACTATTTCCCTTGCCCCTACAAAAATTTTAACATATAAATGAGTATAAGAAAATGACTGGAAAGTTAATTGTACACTGTTTACAGATGACAGCTATTTTTATAAATTGAAGTGCATAAATGAGTTAACTGCATCATAATTAGACCAAGTCAATATTTTTCTCCATTTCATTTTGCATATGTTAAAACATGGAAGAAAGCCTAATACAAGTATTCTTCTAAATAGATATAATATTAAACTGATTTCTTATGACATTGTTTTAACCATAGATAAATGCATTTCTCAGCTCTCAGCAGGGAAGCTTCCTTATGCAGCAGCTGGTGATTAACACAGAGACCCACAACTGGCCAATTTGCAGAAAATAAGAAACTGGAGACTGCTTATCCAGATTAGGATATCTACATCAAACTTCTGCCTCCCAAGGCTCAGGGATCATCTTAAAAACTCTGAATTTCGCTCTGAAGTTCTTCAACAAAATACTTGGAAGATATGTTAGTTACTTTTCTCGTTGCTGTGACAAAAAACTTAACAATAGCAACTTAAAGAAAGAAAGATCAATTCATGAGGGTACAGTCTCTCATGGTGGAAAAGGTATGTGGCAGGAATTTGAGGTGGCTCTTCATCTTGCGTTCCCAGTAAGAAAAGAGAGTGAGAAATGCTGGTGTTCTGCTTGTTTCTCCTTTGCATTCAGTCCAGGACCCCAGCCTATAGAATAGTGCTCTCTATATTTAGGGAGGATCCTCCTCCTACCTCAACCCAATCTAAAAACTCCCTCACAGTCATGTCCAGTGGTTTATAGCCTAGCTGATTCTAGATCCTGTCAAATGGACTATCAGTATTAACAGTCACAATATGAGACTCAAAGAAGTGATTAAGCAGTAAGGAGAAGGGAAGCCAACTAGCTAATCAGACCAATCATATTAGTCCCCGAGGGCAGCGATACTATGTACATCCCTGCATGTCCCAGTGTAACAGCTATATATCTGGAACGTTCAGAAAAAACGTTAAAATTTCAATCAATAAATATGATTTCAAACACATACTGACTCAGCATTTGGATAATTGCAAAGTGCAAGCAAAGAGGTGGCTTCCTTTTATTCGGGTTATTTATGACACCAGTAGGGAATGCAGTTCAGTGAAGCTTTCAAATGTATAATACAGGAAGAAAAGGGTATCACCCCATGTGTACAAGCAGACCACACTTACACTTTAGTCTGACAAATGCTGGAATGAAATTATTGGCTAGCGTAGGAGGGGGAATTGCATTCATGCCCATATGATCTCTGCGTCTTAATGTTATTAAACAGAAAGCACATGTGTAATTAGTGAACATCTTGTGTTGTTATTGATCTGTAAAAATTTCCCCCATTTCTTTTATGTATATCACAAATACATGAGAAAAATAAACACAATATGGTAATTCATTTACCTGAAAGTATAAATGTGAATAAATTGAAACTCACAGAAGGAAAAGCTACATAGACACCTCCAAAGCCTTATCATCACCTGCTGTTTTAACCTGCTTCTCCTTCTGACTGGCTGCACAGGAATCACTAGAGCTCTTGTTCTTCACTGCCTCTTCTGTGCTGTGACATTGACATCATGGTCTATGTCAGAGGTTCATCCTGGCACTGTCAATAATGCACTGAGATGTATTTCCAACAGGCTATGTTGTTTTCCCTCGGTTTTCTATATTCTCTTTATTTTTATTTTTGTAAATAAAAATATATTTA